TACAAATTGTCTGTCAATGAAATTGATTTTTGGGATTTGCCACCCCAACCTATCTGCAGGGTAGCAAGTTGGAGAAGACTACTAAGATTGCAGGATGCTATAAATGCTAATCATCTAAAATTAGGATTTAGTTTCCCATCTCTGAAATTCATTTTTCTCCAAGGTAAAGAAGATGCTATGTCACCTGCCAACATATACACAATATTAATGTTCCCTAAGCAATGTAGGTACATTTTATACAGCTTTTCATCCTATCAGTTTTACAAAAATGACAGAGAAGTCTTCAAAACAGGGGAAAACTTAATTCAGTAAAATGTGTTGGTATATAAAAATGTTCTCTCTTGGCACTAAAAAAGTTGGCACCAGGCTAACTTCTTGTGTAATAGGAATGTAACCACTGAGAAAGCCCCATCTTTGTAGGTTATCTTTGTACTTCTGAAGAACAAAACATGCAGAAAAAAGCCTCAGCAGATTATCTTAAAGAACTGTTTTGGACAGATGCAACAAAGAAAAGTGTATTATATAGACTATTATATCTAAATAGACATGGAAGTTGGCATTCCTTCAAATGAAAGGTCCTAGGCCTTCTATTATTAAGGATTAAAATGCATTTATGTGCATATTCCAATACACAAATGGAGAGGCATATTCGGATCCTGGCTTGCATGCAGACTCAGCAGGAGACATGGAGCATATTAGGTATACATCTGTATGACAACACATCTCTAGATGCAGCACGAATCATTCAGCAGATTTTCTCTCCAAATTGTACAGCTTGGATAGGGATAAAATTCCCAATTGCCTTTCAACAGAAGTGGGAATCCAAATTCATTGCTTGTGGCCTCTAGTCACATCAATGCTCCATTACATGTAATTACTTATGGACCCGGGCCCAAATCTAGGATTGTCCAAGAGCTTTAAAATCAACCAAAATTTAATTTGCTTGTGACACTACATAGGGCTCAGTTAGCAGGTGTTAAATAGGACCTCAGATGCTTGTCATACTGGGCTAGAGGAACAAATATCATTTCCTGGCTGAAGGCAAATTCCTATGTTCATATAAATTATCTGAAAGTGATTGGGATATCATTGAATGTGTATGTAGTTGAATTTGCCAAGAAAGAAAGGAGAATCTGGATTATTGATCTAATATTTCTTCTTTTCAAATACAGAATAAATTGGCTAAAGAAGCTGTGGATGCTTTACATAGCCTCCATCAAACAGAGTATATATATGGAGCAATTGCAACCACAATTTGTAAGTATCTGTATTAGCAAAGTTCTGCTTCAAAATGTTTTATATGCTTTTTACACTGAAAAGTCTGCATATCTGCTTTGACATGTTGGGATGTTTTATTCTGTAACTTGTAAATACGTAAGAGAGAATGCTATATGTTATGTTCTGACAGTTGACGCATGCGCAATGCGGCCGCCAGACGAGGGTGCTGTGCTGGCGGGAAAAAGGGCGGTCACCCATTGGTTCAGTTGTTGACAGCCGCGAGTACATAAGAGCTGTAAGTTGTGAGGGAGTTTGCCTCATTAGTTGTAGTTCTCCAAGTGAGTACGGCTCGTCACATTTCCTGTAATAAAAGGTTGGTTGATGTTACGCTGCCTCTGCCTCGATCCTTGCCTGCCTGTTCGAAGCTAAAACACTATAGGGCAGGGATGTCAAACTCACATTATCACGGCGGCATCACGTGACATATTGGAATTTTTTCCCCTTTGCTAAACTGGGTGTGGGCGTGGCCAGCGCGTGACGCATCTGGTCCGTGGGCCATGTGTTTGATAGTCCTGCTATAAGGCATTGTAGGAAGGTACAAACATCATTCATCTTGGGCAGAAGAGGAGATCTATGACAGGCATCCTCAGTGGGACTGTGGAAAGTTCTGCCACCAGAACCATGCCTCATACTCTAAAAGTGGAGAGAAACTGAAATTATTATAGGAACATGTAGAAACTTAGATTTTCTCATCCTCGTTTTCTCATTTCTTTAACCCAACCCCAACAATTTTCTGATAGATTTCAAAGAGGAAAGACTTTATTTTATTTTATTTTTAAAAAAAGCTCAACCTCCAAGAGTACCACACATCTTTTTAAGATTCTTTAATTCTGAGGACAAGCTTCCATTGTACACATATTCTTTTTGTTCACATAAGATTTTGTCTCATTTTACTTTTTTTGTTTCTTTCCTGAAGTTAGTTTTGTATTGTTTTTGTGACTTCAAGTCAGTGTTGATTCCTAACAACTTCCTGGACTAATCCTAACCCTAACCCTGAAGTTTTCTTGGCAAGTTTTTTTTTTTTTTCAGAAATGATTTGCTATTGCCTTCTTGTGTTAATGACATACCCAAAGTTACCCAGTTCACTTTGTCCCTTAGACAAAACTAAAATTCTCATACCTTAACTTCTATACCAAATTAATTACCTCCTGAAGATAGTATTATTGACTTAAATGTTGCACTTGTATGTAAAATCTGCATTTCAGTTCATCTGATAATTTCAATTATTCAGGCAGAGCATGGAAAAGGTGCATCCATGTATATAGATTACAGTAATATCTCTTTCTCTAAAAATGTTTTTATCCTCACCTGAGACTGTAGTTCCAAGAAACTAACAGGAGTTTGGTATAGTGGAGATTCTACCATGGATTCCTCCAGCTAACCAGTAAATAAGACTATTGTCTCCAGGGCTTACTTTCTGAGAAACCAACTATTTGGGCTACCAGCCCAGTCATTTAGATCAGCAAGGGAAACCCTTTTGAAATTACCCTGCTGCCTGCCATAATCTCTGCACCTCCTATATCTATATCATGAGTCGTAGAGAATATTTGGATACCACTGCCCCAAGATTTAGATCCAAGAAAAGGTCCAAACTGTTAAGGGCTGATTAAATTTAATGATAGTGATTAGTTTGCTTTGATTTTAAATAGTTTACCTATACTTTAATGTTTCATTATTTGTATTTTAATTACTATACACTGTCTCAAGAATTGTTAAATGCAATTTCACGTTTGTTTGTTTGTTTGCTTGTTTATGGTCCAAATAGATCTCCTTTTTGAAAAACAAAAGAGTGAAATGCAAAAAACTACAATATTAACAGAAAAAAGATGGAGTTAAAAAAATCTAGCTGTATTATGGTGATATATATAAATGTGAGCTTATTAAGCTTTGACTACATTAAAAATATATTTACTTGTCAAAGTAAATAATAGTCTCCTATATGCCTCAAAATCAAGTAAAATTACTTTTAAAATACTCTCTGTGCTGTACTCCAGGTTCAGTGGAGGCAAAACTTTTCATACGATAACAAATTCAGTGTTTTATGAATTTAGCTCCATATCAGATTAAGCTCTTTAACTATAAATTAACCATATTTCTTCACAAAATTATATTGACAGAGGTAATGATTTAAAACCAAATGAACCCATAGCTGTACCATATGACTTAAAGAAACTTCAAATTTCTTACAATGCCAACACAAAACAACCTAAAATTAAAAAAAAAAATACTTTTCAACATTCATTGAGAGAACAATAGAAATAAAATAATATTTTCTGATGAATTAATTTCATTTTTAATCATAACAAGGATATTATATATTTCTTAATCATCTTGATCTATTGATTCTGCAAACTCAAATTCTTCACTTTATAATTACTTGAATGCTGGTTTCCCTTTAAGCAGTTCATCTCTTAAAGTTCCTAAAGTTATAGGAAATAGGAAAGTTATAGGAAAGTTTTATTTAATACCTTCTCATTGCTCAGATATTTTTTTTCTTGAGCAAACTTTGTTGAACTAGTGTCCATTTTTGCCTTGAAATGAAAAACAGTGACATTTGTCCTATATTCCGTTTGTTTTCTCTGATTACAACAAATAACTTTTCAAAATCAGACTATACACTTTCATATCAGCTTTTCATCTGTTAAACTACCCTTTCTCACTGAAAGTGCTGATTTGAACTTCAACTCTGTCTGATGTAATCTCTTCAATGAAATACCACATCATATGACATTGTATTAAATAAATTCCCATAACTGACACCAAATGTCATTCATATGGAGCAGGAAGTTTATTATGCAATTTTCTTCGTGATGTTTTTTTCAATCTAATTTTGTCTATCTATAGAACTCTGCAAGTTATCTGCAAGCTCTCTTTTATATTTGCATATCTGGACTGATGATCTCACTTTTCAAACTAGCCGATAACAGGGTATTTTACCCCCAGAGTTTTCAGTGTTCTATAAGTTAGCAAAAATCCTTTTCTGACAAGAGAATCAAATGTTTAATTTCCAGCCCAAATAGTACCGTACAGTTAAATATTTATTTGTACTTCTGCATTTGGCATTCTTCCTCATAATTTCAAGAGACATATTTTTATAGAACTATTTAACGAACATTAATCCACTAAGATTATTAAAGGCCTGGAGACAAAAACATATGAAGAATGGTTGCAGGAATTGGGTATGGCTAGTCTAGAGAAAAGAAGAACTAAGGATGACATGATAGCAGTAGTCCAGTATTTGAGAGGCTGCCATAAAGGAGCAGGGGTCAACTAATTTTCCAAAGCACCAAAAGGCAAGACAAGAAGCAATGGGTGGAAATTAATCAAGGAGAGAAGCAACCTGAAGTTAAGGAGAAACCTCCTAGCAGTGACAACAATTAATCAGTGGAACAGCTTGCCTTCAGAAGTTGTAAGGACTTTATCACTGGAGCTTTTTATGAAAACACTGGACCTACCTGAAATGGTATGGGGGTCTCCTGTTTGAGTAGGGGATTGGATAGAAGACCTCCAAGGTCCCTTACAGTTCTATTCTGATTGAATAAAAAAAGGAAAGGTACAATGGCAAACCACTTCTGAAAAACCTTGCCAAGAAAACTGCAGGGACTTATCCAGTCATTCGCTAAGAATTGGACACAATTGAAAATAATCAATTTGAAGAAGAAGAAAAAATAAGAATCCCAATCCTTACTGGCATCTAGTAAGAAGTATGTATGACTTCAGAATACATGCAGGGAATTTAATCATGATTTTAGAAAGTATGGACGAAGGCATGGATAGTTGGGTGCCCTGAAATAACAATATCCATTTAATTGCCTATGCTAGTCCTCATTCTGTTTCATTTGAACCAATGGAGGTAGCTCTGGTGAAAATCTTTTTCTCAGACTAATCTCACACAGTCAGTCTTCCTATTTCACCATTCCCTTTGTGTTCCGGTTGTTTTTAACATTATTTGTTTTTCAGATCCTTGTTCTGGAACATCCGTAGATTGGGCTTACGATGAAGGAATAAAATATTCATTCGCCTTTGAGCTTCGTGACCATGGCCAGTACGGTTTCCTCCTGCCTGAAAGTCAGATAAAACCTACCTGTAAGGAAACCATGCTGGCAATCAAAGTAATTGCCAAGCACATTGTCGACAATGCTCATTGAACACATGGTGACATTTCCTTGCAAAAGAAATTCTCTCTTCCTTGGCTGCAATTGTCCCCTTGATTCTACCTGCAATTATAGATTCTCTTTTCTGATTTTTCTATTCCACTGATATTTTGTTGTCTTTCCCTTTGATGCCTTTCAGCACTAATTAAACTTTGAAAATGCAGTTTGAAGGACAAATTTTCTGCTGGATTCATTTTATTCAAGCATATGGAAGACATTTGCTGAATAACTGTTAGCTCACTTCTTAGTGAATTCCCGGATTTGCCCTTTAATGAACATATCTTTGATAAATCTGATGATGATTCCTCCATTGCTCTGTGTTTGAATATTTGTTGCCTGTTCCAAAATTATTTTTTGCCTGACCTGCTCATCTATAACAGGGGTCTCCAACCTTGGCAACTTTAATACTTGTGGATTTCAACTTCCAGAGTTGGGGTTGAAGTCAACAAGTCATAAAGTTGTCATGGTTGGAGACCCCTGATCTAGAACACAAACTTTTAAATCTCTGGGCACAGATACTCTGAACTATGTCATAACTACTTTCCTTTGATATTACTTGCTGTGGCTGAAATATACATATAGATACAGAAGTATACATATAAACAGAGAAATAGAACTGATCATATAGATCTTTCTCACCCATCCATCAGTCATTTAGCAAAACTTCTTTGTGTGAGTCAACCAGATGAAGATCCAGAGTAGCACTGTGATATCATAGTTCAGTGGAAGGCTATAAAGAAAAGAGGTCTCAATTCTCAACAGCTATGGGTGTGTCCATATGATCCTCTCTTAAAATATCAGAATTTAGCTTGCATGTATCTGTATGTCTGTGGAGATTCTCTGTCATCCAGCTCATAGTTATCTCAAAAAAAACAAAAAAACCAGTCCAATTACCTTTTGAAAAAGCACCTTTAAGACATATATCTGTCCCAAAATAATCTTTGCTGCTGAATTTTTTCTGACAATGAAAAGAGATCTTGCAACTATCAATTGGAACGCATTGGAAGCAGTGGTGGGTTGCCCCCCGGTTCGGACCGATTCACAAGAACCGGTAGTAAAACTGGCAGGAGGCTCCGCCCACCGACCTGGATGTCATCAGAAAGCTTCTGTGCATGTGCAGAAGCAAGCACGTGTGCGCGAGCGAAACAAGCGCATGCAGCCCCATTGCGAACCAGTAGTAAAGGTAGATAGAACCCACCCCTGATTGAAGGCTATTCCATCTTTTCTTCCTAAACTATTTGTTTTGTGCTAAGAAAAAACATGGGAAAATAAGTGAGTTACAAAGGGAAGACAATAATGTTTGGTCTCCCCTCAGTTCAATTCTGGAAATGAAGCAAGATAATTGCACAATAACAGCACTGTCTCAAGGCATTGTGTTGCTATTTAGTAATTCAGTATTAATGGGTTCACTGCATTTACACGTTCAGTTCATCACTTAATGTGCCACCATTCAGTCACTTTGCAAGAACTAATCTACATTTCATACACAATCCAGCAAAACAGCTAACTAAATTAGAACCAATTTATTGTTAAAGGCAAGGATAAAATTCATTTTGACTTGAAAAACAAACCCACAGTCCTATTTTAACTGAAGTAGCAACAGTAAATTTGAATGGACACATTTTATTTTATTTTCTATCTGGCTGCTTACAGTTATTCCTTCCTTTTACAAAATGTTTGCTGTTGGTATTACTTGCTTAGCAATGCTTCTCTTAATAAATCTAGTGCATCAAACAAAAAACTTACTATTTCCTAAATCAAGGTCCTATTATACCTTGTTTTGTTGCCTGGACAGTTGAGTTACGATTAGAATATAACCTTAGCATCCTTCATACTCATGAAGGCAATATTTTTATTTGGCCAACTAGGTCACCAAACATTGTACAAGTTTATTAACCCTTCATCAGACAATAATAGACACTGCATTTTTTAAAAAATCATCAGATGAAATTGACCAGTTCTGCCATTTTCTAGACCAGCTTGAAGTTTGTGGACTTCAACAACCAGAATTCCAGAAGGTATGGAATACTGGATTACAGATTTATCAAATAGATACTTATTCTGCTAAGTCAGCCAACTACCAAGAGAATGAGTGATTGAGGTCCCTACAGAATGTTGGGAAAGCATTCTTCAGTTACTATGACACACAGATAACACAAGCACTAATTTAAAGGAAAATGGCCTTTAGACATTCTTCCTGGGCAGATATACCACAGTCCGAATCATTCAGAAAGGGTAGAGTTAATTTCTTACTCAAATTTCATACCTTTTGATTGGGATGGGGTAACTGAGTACACGGTATGAGAATTCTAAGACAGTATTCTTCCTCTCATTCTGACCCTGTCTTCTTGACAAATATTCCATCTGGAATATTTAGAAGAAATGGGAAAAAGTACTAGAGGGTACCTGCTCAAATTTATACAAGGAGCCAAACCGCACATAATATTTAATTGAAAAGGTTAAATTATCTGAAGGAAATCAGAAGCATCTGGAAAGAAAAAATATTAGGACAGATATTTAAATGATTCCAACTGTATCAAGCCTTATCTTCATAGGATACTTTCAACCATCACCTTTATCTCCTGCAAAAACTATGGTCAATCTTAATCATCTCACCTATTTTATCTAAAAGATGTAGAAAGATCAGTGATTGTCTGGTTTTTATTTAGTTGGGTCAGTCTTTTCTTGGAAAAGGTGAATGAGGTGATTAAGTATTCTTAGACAAAGCTGATTACCAGCATTTGTTTTATTTAGAATCAACCTTAGCTCTCAGAGGAATAACCTATGCTTCAATCACATTGCTCACCAAAGGCTCAGTTTCTTTTTAAAGAGGTATCTAACTTAGAATCCAAGAACAGGAAGAAACTTCTACTGCCATGACACCTTGTCTTCAGATCTACTGGACATCTGAAGGCAAGCAAATTGCAAGGATAGTGGAGAACATTCCATTTTTGATATTTCTGATACTGTCACTATTATCTTTTCAGTACTAGGCAATAATTTTTAAAGTGCTCAGCCAGGCTTTTTAATCAAGGTGGATGAATTTATTATTCTGTCTAGAAAATATAGTTTGCAATTTATTTGTATTTTCATTTTCTCTTGGTTTGAAAAAAACCAACCTCAAAACACTGCTAAATGGAATATGGAAATAAACATGAAAAATGATTTTTTTAAAAAGAAAATAATAGTTGAATGATTTTATATAATGTTGGGAGTGAGTGGCACAGTGGCCTAGAGATGAAGACTCTCGCCTCCCACTTGGAAGGTTGAGAGTTCAATCCTAAACAGTGGCAGATGTTTCTCTCTCAGGGCACAAAGAGAAACTGCGAACTTCGGATAGGCATCAAGAAAAAAAACTGTTGATCATCTATCTATCATCTGTCTGCCTATCTATCTATCATCTATCCAATGTTAGGAGTACTTAATAGCTAAACAAGACTCTCACTGGGGCTTTCTTCCCAAAACAAAGACCAATTTGAAAGGAATTGATTTTATCAGAACCCTACTGGGACAACAAAAGACCAAGCCTCACCCACAATTTGAGATTTCAGTTGCTATCATCAACCTGTGACTATATTTATATTTATATAAATATATATTAATAGCAAGAGACACAATGTTCTATTTGGTTTAACACTCATAAAAGACCCAATTCTTCCTTGGCTATGCGCCTGAAATTGCCATAGGAAGATTCTGGCTTCTTTGGCTCCTTCAACATATGCAAAAAAGCACATCATTTAAAAAAAAAAAAATTCCTGCCCCATGTATCCATGGCATCCCTGATTACTGATCTTATTGGCTAAGGCTACTTGGAACTGTCATCCAAAACATCTGAACTTCTTTCATTTGTTTGTTTAAAAGTTCACCCATTTTGTGTCATTAAAAACAACCCCTCAAAGCAGAAAAACAAACAACACAATTAAAAACTGTTTTCAATGCATTGAAAACCATTAAAACAACAGCAATTTAGTAAAAGCCTGTAAAAGTAGCTGCTTAAAGTTATAAACAGTTTTAAAACTATGAAAGAGAAGAGGAGTATGCTGAATCAGGTCAAAAGGCACAGCAGGTTCTTAGTCAAGACAACTCTTTCTGCATCCAATTCCTATATGCTGGGTAAGAAGTCATAACTAAAGGCATCTTGAAGTTTGAAAGTCTTTACTATGAGAAGCTATCAGGAAATGCCCAGCAAATAAGTCAGTTCAAAAATACGTTGATAACAGCCAGTTAAAAATAAAATATTTCCTTAAGGACTTCAGTTCTGCTAGTATATAATTAAAAAAAATACTTGATTACACAATGCTGATCCTAAACGTATGTAAATAAAAATAGCACCATGAGATCATGTTCCATGCCATGGCTAGTTTACCCCAGGAGAATTAAATTCTTCCTGGCCTGTACTCTGAATAAGTGCAGCCAGAAGGCAAGAAACCCACATGGGAGAAGGGAATTAAAGTAAGGGCAATTATTCTAAAAAGTGAGGAACAGGTAGGGAATTAAAAGTCTACAGTTTGACTTCATTTAGCTACACTCTTAAAAGTACAAATTAAATCGTACTTTCTTGAATTCACATAGAAGGAAGAAAACTCAACAAAAATAGCTGTTTTTAGGAAAAGACTCTATTTCTCCCCCCACCTCTTGTCAAACATGTCACTCCCAGTTAAATATGGATTATTTTCCCCAAAAGACAGCTTCTCACAGAATTTTCCTTGTACTTTAAATTGTAAGACAAACCACGGATTATACAGTTCATTGTTTATCTTATAAAAGTCAGAGTAATTGGCATCGGCCCGTGGCATCTATTGAACTTTTTCTGTAATAACCTATGGCTCATAGACTGCATGCAACCCTAGACAGCTAGTAAGGCAGCCCAACAACACTGTAAACTTTTAATATCATTATGTGATTTATATACATTAACTGTATTATATATTTTACATGCGACTTCATTTAGTGCAGCCCTGGCAAGCCAAAAGATTAGACACTCATGATCTAGATAAATGTTTCCCAGGTATCTCCGTTAATTTAAAAGTTAAATTTAACATATTTTAACCTGAAACACACACATTCTTCTGGTACTTATCTCAGGTGAAATATGGTCCAGAGGTAGAATGAAGTGGCCTGTTTTACTCTGAACAATGAACCCTCTAATCACCTGCAGCTCCCCTAATTTCCCAAGTAGCCATTAAATCCAAATAGAAGATGTTTTACCCTTTGCTGTTCAACCTACCTTACAAGCATTGTTACTGTGAAGAAAATTAGGTGGAATGACTGCTGTATATTATATCTTCAGCTCCCATACAAGGGCAGGGTATAAATCTAATCAATAAAATCTGGTTGCGGGAGGGGGGAATTTTGATCTGGATGGGACAGCCATAAGGGCTACACAAAGATGGAATACAGTTCACCAGTATTTACTGTTGCTTTATAATAACAAAGTAAAGGCAAAAGTATAATCAAATGAGTGCTTAAATATATTCAAAAGTACATGAGAATGAAACCAGGTCTTTCCCAAACTGTGAGGTTCTCTAGATGCATTGGGGCTACCTAGAAGAGAGTTCTCAGACATGTACCCTCAAGTACACAAATACTCAAGTACAAATGCATTCTGTGTCCATGGACATGTTTTCTCATTTATCAAATATTGTACATCACTGTGAGAGTCATTTTCTGAACTTTTTCAAGATGCTAATAAGTATTATAAAAGATTCCAATACCCATAGTTAATTTAATCTACGAAATCTAAATGTAGACATATCTGCAGAACTTCACATCATCCAAATAAATCCTTTGAGGATATTATCTGATCATCAAACAGAAGAATAAAAATGTCAGAGATGAACGGCAGCAAAGAGAAAGGACCATAATGTCCCTGTTGGCTCTGGACATGATGACCATTACTTGTGTTTTCATTTCTGCTCTACGATTTGACAGGTACAGTCTTTTCACATCATCAAAGAGTCTTGTGGGGTTTTTGTTTGTTTCCATGCCTTGGTATACTGCTCATTGCTTGACTTTCTCTTCTAAAGTGCAAAGGTTTTTCGTGTGAAACCACAAAATGAAAAGGAAGTAAGCGTCATGAAATCCTTGCCAAGCCTCATTAAGGTGAGAAAATTTTGCAATTCAGATCCTTTGTGCCCCTTTAAGGAATTTTGTAAAATACATGATTGTTCAAAAATATATGAATATTTTCTATTTATCATAGTATGTGTGTGTGTGTTCTTTTTGCATCTACAGAAACCTGGATATATACATTCAGTATAGATTCTTTGACTAATAACCTGTAAGCTTGACTGTAACCTTGTTGCTAGTATCCTTAAGATTTATATTGACTGTTTCCTAATATGATTTGATTGCTTATGTGTTCCTATGACTACCATTAAGTGTTGTACCTTATGATTCTTGTCAAATGTATCTTTTCTTTTATGTACATTCAGAGCGTATGCACCAAGACAAATTCCTTGTGTGTCCAATCACACTTGGCCAATAAAGATATTCTATTCTATTCTATTCTATTCTATTCTATTCTATTCTATTCTACTCTACTCTACTCTACTCTACTCTACTCTACTCTACTCTACTCTACTGTAAAAGAAAATAGACTCTGTTGAATGCTTCCAATTTTTTTAATATATAAAGGATTGTTAAAATGGTAGTGTATATCCACAATTAAAACTTAATTAAAGCAGGAATGGCTCCCCAATATACAATATATCACAAGGCAGATTTAGACAGCTGGGCTATAGTTCAACAGTTACTAATATTTAATACAAGGTTTAAATATTTAAACTGTGGTTAGTGGGGATGCCAGTGGAAGAAAGAATATATCAATGTTATTTTTTTCTTTCTTCACTGTTTTTTATTTCAATATGGGAGAATGGAGGAATGTAACATCTTGCTCTTTGAACTTTTTTTTTTTTTTTGCCTGTCTATGTTTGCTTTTTTCTGTTTGGAAAAAA